ACTGTTGAACCATGAACCTTTTTCAGATATTTCATCACTGTTTCCACAGACAAAGGAGCAAAGACACTTGGTAATAAGGAAATGGCGTTTGTCGGAAGATGAGAGTCTGTGCGAGTGTGGATGAGGTTTGCATTTAAACGATATAAGCCAAAGTCAGCGTTGACCAGTGGGACGCTTAAGACTCTTCCAAATTTCACCCGAGGGGAGAGGAGGGGAAGACGTTGAATAATAAAAAAGCTGATTAACAAAACGTCGTTCAGCCTGGAAATCTCACGCTTTTTTAGGCCGTTCACATCCTGTAGTCTTTCAGGTAGATCTAGTTCGCAGAACAATTCCTTTTGGCGTCTCAAATTTCTTAGATGAGGAGAAGAAGTTCTTTCAGGTGTTAAGAGGGCAACAGACAGTGAAAATGTCATTGAAAAAGGTTGTTAGTTGAGCGAAGCATGACACGACGTTCGAGCGTTCTAGAAGGGCAGGGATGTGATCAGATATGACGGTCTGGAGGAAACAAATATTATGTGGGGTAAGTGTCCCGAACCATACGTTTCCTATCTTCCGATAGAATGTTCTCGATATAAACAGGTGTCAGGTGGGCGCGTGGAAAACACTTCACCAGCTATATCGTTTAAACCCTAGATGGACACTTTGTTTAGAAAATCGAAAATAGTGATGAAATATCCATCATAAACAGCTCTAACGTGGCAAAGCAAGCAATCATCGCGCCATTCAGTTCAGTCAAATGGAAGTAAATGTAGATGTATGCCTTTGATCTGTGCTGATATGCAAGTTGTGATATCAAACATTTTAGAGGTGTAACAGTTAATAAAACGAGGTTTCGAAAAATCTGTCCACATAACCAATAAGAAATAGCCGCACACAGTCTTAGAACGAAAGAGCAAACTTCTGTAATTTTTACTTCGTGAATGGTACCTCACTATATTGGCGACGCGAAATGACAGAAGCCGGTGAGATAGAAAGGGAGCAAAAAGAGCGGACGATAAATAAAGATTACTTGTACATTGTTCATGAAATATATACCTTCCAATGGGATTGTAATAGAAAAAAACTGTCGCTTCATTCATATTTTCCCATTCGCTTGTTTGTAAAAAATACTCGCGAAATAGGATTTTCTGTCCGATCATCGTGCGCGAGTTTTCGAAAAGTTCATTTTATGAGAGGAAATATGTAACCTTAACCGCTGTATTGTAGTAAGACTAGCCATAGAAGCAATTTTCAGGGAGGCGGTGCAGGGAGCACCATACAGACACCAACGGTTGCCTATTATTAATGATTCGCAACAGCATCCGAAAATTCTGGATCGCAGCTTCTTCTCCTTGGGGTTGTGTTATTAATATATAACGTCCACAGCTGCCGCTTTGTACTCCATGAGTTCTGCTCGCTGTATTCACTTGTGACAGTAGGATCCTGTTCTAGTGAGACGATTGACGTTGGTCACACTAATGTTTTGGTAACTATTAACAAAGCAAGTAGGGATAATTTTACTAATGCGACGTATATCCACTTTATTTAGCAGCGATAGCGAAACGACCTGCAATTTCGACTGCGAAGCATCACTCATCAACAAAGTGTAGAG